GGTGTGTATAAAACAAACTATACACAGGTATAAAACTGTGGCACAGCGGTAAGTCCGAAGGCTTAAAACGCTGAAAACTGGACTTCGATACCCTTGGTGAACACAGCACAGAGAGTCCATGTGAAGCTTTTTGCTTAACAGGTAAACAATTCAAACTGTTTGTTGCCCTGGAGAAATTTTTTTTCTCTACTCTCATTTTATCTTCCAGGTTATCCTCTCGCTAAGCTACAGAAGTCTATACTCTATCTGCACATTTTTGACTATGACCGATTTAGTCGGGATGATCCAATAGGTGATGTTTACCTTCCCCTTGCCCAAGTGGACCTCTCCAAAAAGCCCACCTTCTGGAAGTGCATTAGACCAGCTGAAGACTCGAAGGTAAAGAGGTCGCTTTAGTACGTCATATTATACCATGTCTTTCCATAAATTACCTCGAAAATAACTAAATTCATACAGCTTCAGGCTCGTTCATGGAATTCAAATTAATAAACAGCTAATCATTTTATATATCTGCATAGTTTGTTTTGTAACTGTGTATAGTTTGTTTTATACACACCAACAACCAGTTTTATACCTGTGTATAGTTTGTTTTATACACACGAACAACAAGTTTTATACCTGTGTATAGTTTGGTTTATACACATCAACAACCAGTTTTATACCTATGTATAGTTTGTTTTATACATACCAACAACCAGTTTTATACCTGTGTATACTTTGTTTTATACACATCAATAACCAGTTTTATACCTGTGTATAGTTTGTTTTATACACACCAACAACCAGTGTTATACCTGTGTATAGTTTGTTTTATACACATCAACGACCTAGGGGGGGGGGGAGATTTTGGATTGCTATAGCAAGTTATATTATTCTAAAAAGTACGAGTTTATAGAGGAGGTATACTGTGGAATTTTTTTAAGATACGTTTATCAATAGCTATACTGTACAGGCAGGCCCGGCATGGTCAGGTGGTTAGGGCGCTCGACTGGTCCCAAGTCCAGGAGGAGAAAGGAGAAGGGTTGGGCGCGGGGCTAGCAACTCCATCCCGTAAAAACCAACCTGCTACAAGTAACTGCAACAACAACTTTCCGTTGGTGAGGTGTTGTTACGGCCCTATGCTCCACTGGGAGTTGACAGGAATAAAAAAAAAATACTGTACAGGCTTAAAACTAAAATAAAACGAAAGAAAAAAATTACTTCAAATAAAGTTTTTCTAATCTATTATAGTATTATATTTGCAGTAAGTTACCCAGAAAGCCCTAAGTTTATGTGCACCTGTTGGTATTAAATTGTATATGGTATAAAATAGGAATTGCTGTTTATACAAATCTCCGGATTGGAATCTGTAATAGATGAGTTAAAGAGAATGGGATAAAAACATTTATAATGAAACAATATTTTATCAAAACAACGTGGTATCGTTCTAAGGTTCGAAGCGATAATACAGAAACTGTTGTTAATCGTTGATCCTAAACTGAAGCTGGTGTTTTCAATCAACAGAACCATCAACTCCACTTCATTCTGTAGGTTGTTCTATTTTTAAATACATTTACAAAGTTCGTATCAACTTTTAATTCCGTCACAGCTAAATTTTAAATAGTTGGCCAGCTTGTAAGCAGCAGAGGGGAATCGATCCCCGGATAAATAAAAAGTTGGCCAGCTTTTAAGCTTAGCTTGTTGTTTCTCTGATTTTTTTAGCGCTAAATTACACATTAAGCTATATGCGCTCTGTCCACATAGAGGACTCAAACTCCGGATTTTGGCGTTGTAAGTCCCATAAACTTACCGCTAACCCACCGGACGACTTAAGATTAGTTGTGGTAAAATTGAAAATGGACAAGGTGAACTATGACAGTGTTGGTTGTTACGGTTTCTGTCTTTTTTTTTTTAATTTTCGAAAAATTAAGCTTTGGTAGGGCTTCATTTTTCATTCTACAATCCTTAACCAACAGCTCCACCTACTTCCGCTGTATCGAAACAACGTACCTTCCCAAGTTTTAAATACGAGAATAAATGTTATCAGAAAAATAAATAAAATTAATTCAATAAGAAATTAGAACTTTACAATTGTTAGTTGTGGTCAGTCCTAAAAGTAGAAATGTCTAATTTCTTTTGTAAAAGGTTTCTACTTAATTATCGAACACATATAAAGATTTGGAAACAGCTTTGATTGGGATACTATACTAACAGTGAAACCTGATGTCTTACAAACATCTTGACAACGGTATATGTAACTTTCGAACGTTGAATATATATTTGTCACATTAATTGTTCGATGTGATAAAGATTATACATTATTAGTAAAACACTGTTTAAGTCACTGATGTCATATCCGCTAATTCGATTGGATCATACCTTATACTGTATAAGTCACTGATGTCATATCCGCTAATTCGATTGGATCATACCTTATACTGTATAAGTCA